AATGCAAAGAGGGAGGCACTGCGATTGCCTGCGAGGAGTCGAATTTAGCCAATGGAAATTTACCGCTTTAGAAATTTAGGACAAAGGGAGGAGTAACTTCCCTCCTTGTAGTTGGAATGTCAACAAGTTGACTGAATCAATGAGACCTATGGATCAATCTAAAAATGTAATATTCAGCAATCAGCCGGAGGCTCTGTCCAACATGGGTACTACAAGTGGTGGTGTCGCTGCGTCTCTATCTCAAGTAAGTCATATTTGCTCATACAAGCCATGTCATTAAACTTTATTATTGTGGTTAAATGTTGAAAAACAATCTCCAGTGTGCCCAGCGAGACTTAGGGTAGGATAAGAGCAATAATGTAACGAGTGATGACCGAGGTTGCTAGCATAGTAAATATGGTTAACGTTATATAGTGTGTTATGATTTGCTGGTAGTATGCGGAGCATGCATATTTGTTGTTCAGGGTTGTGACCGTTGATTTTGTGATAAATATACGTAGGCATTTAGTATGTATAACTTTAGGGGCAGATTATTTTAAGGGTGAAGTATTATGATAGAATAGTGTAGAATTATGTGATGAGTAGTAGGGGATGGAGACAGGAAAAAGGTTCACGTCGAACGATGAATACTTGCATATCCTCATGAGTCAAAACAGTAGAGAGAGCACGAGACTCAAGTCCTACACCCCACAAGGGGAGATCATGATGAAGTCACAGCGTGGTAAAGTAAAGACACTATGTAGTCCCGACTGAAAGTCGGCATTGTTAATACTGTAAATAGGATATAAATTAAAGGGTGAATAGACCAGGGTACCTAGGGTAGGACGGAGATGGTGTATCGAGTAATAGTAATGAAAAAAGTGACACACTCAAGCCATCGGCTCTAGGCGAGAGACTAGGACGAAATTCAGAACTATCACGCACCGATACAATGTGTAAACCGACAGACATCGGCATTCTTCTATTGTAAATAAGAGTGTAAACAGACAGTGTGATTAGAGTAGGATGTACCGGGATTGTGATTTACTTCCCCGAACCAAGCCGTCCACGACCGATCCAGAGCGATCCTGGCCCAGCGAAGGCAGAACAGACCCCAGGCAGTCAACGGCACCTGGATGCAACGACAGTTAAGGGTGAGGGACTAGAAGTAGAGACAAGGGGATGACGTTCCTGATGGAACAAGGAAAGGGTGATTTAGTACCATTTCATTAGCCCCTTCAGGCATAACAAAGTGATGGAAGAAGTGAGGGATTGGCCAACGAGAGGTGGCTGACAGAGAGTAGTTGTAATTGTGTTTTACTCACCCCTGCCATCGCAACATTACCTATAGTACGGCGGTGAGACAAGTCAACGCAGGGTTGACTGGCAAAGTGAATTAGGAGTTGTATTTAACCCACCCCCGTCACCACAGAATAATAATTGGGGACAGCAGTGAGATACCCAATCCACCCCTGTCGCAGAGGCGTAATATATGGAGGAACCGATGGTACAGTGGTAGAACACCTACCGCGCTACCGGCACTTAGTATTTTCATCAACCCCCTCTTAAGAGGTAATATATAGTGGCAGCTGTATGCAACGAAGAAGGTCCAGAGCCAGGAGAATCCTAGCTGAGAGTAATTTAGTATTATTTTCATTAAACCCCCACCCCCTACAGCATAATAAGTGGTGGCAGCGGTGGGATACCTACACGCCCCGTCACCACGGCGTAACAATTAGTATGGATAGTTAATCAGTTCTGTACTATGCTAACAAAAATGTGTGGGCAACATCTGAAATTTTTAAGAAATGGCTAACGAGTTTGGTTGTGGAATGATGATGAAAATTGGGGAAAATGTAGCTATCCAATGGACATGGAAATCATAAAATATCTAAAAATCTTATATTGCGCAAAGTTGGTAAATTACATCCTTGAAGCAATTCAAGAAACCTACCGACATCAACAGCTAATGAGGTCAGTGCAAGGACCGATCTTTTATAAGCAGTACAGTTAATTGCTGATATTTCATGAAGAGTAGGCATCAAGACCATTCAGAACTGTTTTGCTCACTGTGGTTTTAAACACTCAAGACTTGGAGAGGCCAAATAAGGCCAAGAGTGAAAATGACTCTCCAATCTTATAATGAAAATGAAGACTGTGAGGAGGCAATTGTTGGAACGAATTGCAGTAAAACACCTACACATCAGAAGATCAGAAAACCGATGATGACATGACCAAGCGTGCACAAGTGACTAACCAGGATGCTAGGAAATGTATTGCTTGATTGAGACTTGATTTCACGCAGAATGACAATGAAGGCACTCTTATATCTAAACTAGGAACCTGCACTGATTTTGTTCAGTTGTAGTCACTCAAGCAAACACAGCAGGGTACACTTGATAAATTCCTCCTTCACTAACTCTTAAGAAGCATAAATGTGTTTAATATGTAAAAGAATCAAATTTATGCTTTAGGTACATATTTTTCTGTGATTTGCACCAATTGTTTTGGCTAATCTAGTCAGTATTTTTTTACTCAATAAGCAGAAGGCTTATCTCTTGTTTTATATATGTATATCTTTTAAATCCTTTATGTTTAACTTCACATATCTGGGGCAGCTTCTTAATAGGGCAAAGTACTGTAGTCCTGTTGTGTCCCAACTAACCGGAATCCACTGTATTATTAAACACCTATGTAGTTTAACATTACATAACACTAGCCTTTGTGATATCCAGTTATTTAAACACAGTGCATTCCATTCCAAGTGTGAAAACCCATGAATATTAATCCCACAATTCTTGAATAATGACAGCAAAACCATAATTTAATTTGCATAATTATGTAACCCCTTACCTGTTGCAACTTACCTAATCTGAAACTAACACAGAAAGTGTTAGTGATTTAATGCTGTCACACACATACACAGACACAGAATTGATGATTATTCGGGCCACCAAATGCATAACTGAGTAAATATCCATGTAACTAATTTGTAGTCATTAACATTTTATGTAATAATAAAATGGTCCTGAAGTCAGAAACAGAAAAAACCATGCAAAATAAAATGTTAAAATATATGCATAAGAGTGCTTTAAACATAATCCGGACAATCTTCACATGGCAGAACTGTGTAAGTTTGAATAGCTTTTTGGCTAATACAATCAACACTCCACTTGTCATTATAAAACAAGTGGTAGCCATAATAATCAACAAATTCTATCAGCCATACCTTGCTAGGGTGTCTACTGGTTTTTGTGATCACAAATTTTAAATGTCCAGAAATTAATATTGATCTATTTTTACTAATGTCGTAGTGTTTCACAAGTACTGTACTTACTTTATACATGACAAACTCTACAATTTTCAATACAAATATCTGCAAGATACCACTTTTCACTCAACATTTAATTTACATTAATCCAATTATCATAAAACACTGATCCAATATTCTAATTCTTGATTATTTAAAATCCCAAGTGTAATTGCAAATCCATGAAAAAAGAGATGGTATATTCAGGCATTACTTTTAGACCAAATGTAACCTTCTATACAATCATGTACATAACATGAGGTGAATGAAATTTACTATTAATTCTAGCCACTATTAACAACAGAAAGTATACAAAAACATCAATACACAAACTCCCTCACATCAGATCCCAGAAATTTTTACTTCACCTGCAAATAGCAAGTGCTTTAATGACCAGTACACACACTACAAGCACTTTCACACAATATTCATTAAAGTTTTCACATATTTTCCACGATGAACAAAATGTAATATTTCCAGTAATAAATACATGCCAGTTCAAAGTATTGTGAGAGACAGTATACAGTGTGTTCAGAAAGTCACTCTGGGGTTTCAGCAGGCATACTTTCTTAGCCATTATACATTCAGGGGGGGGATCAGAATCAAAGGTTAACTTGAAACATTTATGCTAGTTAATAATTAATGTATTCCCCAGGCTGAAAATTCATGTGTGGTGCAGCCTACTCCATGCCAAACTTACAGAATATTTTTACCTCTGCTGAGGCTGTGATCCCTGGAAATATGACTGTGATATGCTTGAGAAATTCACCTCTCCACAGATGCAAGACATAGCTGAAATTTTCCAGCAAGACACTTCATTACAGCAGCACTGTTCATACTGTACTTAATGAGTGTTTGATGGTGAGGAATGCCCAGTCATTTGGTTTATGAGATCATCACATTTTGGGTGTACACATATGGTGTACTGTGCAAGTGGCACAGTTGGATGAAATCAAATACGAAATACATCACAGATGATCACAGTGTAAGGGTTGTTTCATGTCCACCCCTTTAATCTAGCAATCTAGATGAACTCAAATGACAGATGACTGCAGCTGCTGAAACAGTAACTCCAGAGATGCTAAGTGTGTATGAAACAAAACCAGTTACAGTCTCAATACCTGCTGTTCCACAAAACAATGGCATGTGGAAATTAAGTAACAAACTTCTTGAGTTAATTAATCTTCATTTCAATGTTCTGCTCTTCTTAGTATGTATAATGTTGAAGAAAATGCAGCCTCCTAAACCTTGGACTTTCTGGACGCCCTGTATTACAAGTTTATATCAGCATCATGTCAGTTCCTAATGCAATCTAAGCCAACTGTCTGTGTAAATTTGCCACATTAAATAAACAAACAATATTCTGAAAGAAATCCAACTTCCCATCCTATATCAACACAGGAACAAAAACTACAATTGGTCATTAATATGAATATCAGACACATAAAAGCTACATTTTTTCTAAATTAAATTATAAGTACAACTTCAATTAAATGTCATATCAGAGACCAAATGCAGAATTTGTTCACCATGCCTCCAGCATGAAAATATATATTCAACAATCAATATCTCAGGGACCTGTAAACACTAAATCTACAACAAAAGCATATTTTGTGAACTGTTCACAAGCATACAACAACACAGTCACGCTTGCATAGCATTCACTCCACTTTTTCTGCACCAATCATCTTTACTCTCTCACTGTACCTACCTGTTGCTCCCGCCTTGGATAGTTGTTCTTGTTGACAGTGAAGTAGGGGTGTGTGCTTTTAGTGTAGTCATACATCCACTCTAGAAAGTGATTGGCAAGGTCAAATCCTCTGTAGTTGTAGGAACAGTACTCAAAATCAATTAGCACCAGTCGAGGATTCATCAGAGCTTCATCATCAGTCATGTTATCAGTGCAGAGCAAGATATTGCCTTCTTGCATATCATTATGACAGAACACTACTGGTGATGAGATCTTCCCAAGATACTTCCTGTAACATTTAAGTGATGAGCTTCGTAGGAACGGTGCACACAAATTCTAGTGTAGGTGACCTGTTCTTCCCTGAATTTATTGTTATTTATACAGAAGGTTTTATGCTTATTTGGGTTATTCCCGAGCAACAGTCTGTTGTTACCGCATTTCCATGGAAGTATTGCTTCCGGATTCCAAAAACGTGACATTATATTCAAGTTACGAGAGTTTGGATGTCTGCAAATCATTTGTTGGGGAAATTCTGCCACAAGTTCAGACTAATTCTTAAGTGAAAAATCAACACATACTTAAAAACAGTAATCTAATATCCTTTCCTCTCAACGTGCAATTCTCATCATTCTGATTGTACTTTAATGCGTTCCACTATTACTATGTCTTAAGAACATTTTTACCTGTGGCTAAAATGAATCTGATTTCTGAACTTAAGACATTTAAGAAAGACATTTTCCTGTATAATAAAATCTAAATTTTTGGTGCCCTGGAAAATCTCATAAGAGTCCCACTACATTCTGGAACAGAAAACTGGATAAAGCAAAAATACAGAAGTTGGATCCAATCTTGTAAGAGCTCCTTTTCCCATTAACCATCTGCACAGGTCTAATCATATTTAGAACAAATATGTTAATCTATGATGCAAGCACAATGTTTACGAATCAAACATGCAGATACCAACAAGGCCACAAGAATCAACACAAAACCTTGAATTTTAATGAAGGCTTCATTATCTTGGCTGTAACCCAGTAGTATTCCACTCACTGGGAATGAAATGCTAACAGGTGTTAAAAGTATAACCAAGTATCTCTAGTGCATATAAACATATCAAAATGGTCAAATAGTTTCAAGGTGAAGGAATACATTTCCCAAATGGGAGCACCAACAGGGCAAGATTATGTTTATTTCTGCGATAACAGTGACAGCTACCAGTTGGTGACATAGACTCATCATGGTTGGGACCACACAATCTCAGCCGACAGCCAAGGTTCACTAAAAACAGCATTGGATTTGAACAATGCTGAACCTGTTGCGTGGAGGCCACCACACTAACTCAGAGACTCACAATTTCCCAATTCTTTGCTCTATGGAATCTTTTTGGTCTCTAAAAATACTATTGAAACCTCACATCAGAACTAAGAACTGCATACGAGGGGGGACCCAAAAATAACCGGAATTTATTTTTGTTATTTTTTATTTTTGCATTTTTATTGAACTGTATATTAGTCCCCTTCAAAGTATTGTCCATGTGCATTAATGCACTTGTCCCAACGCTTTTGCCACTGCTCAAAACAGTGCTGGAATTCTTGAGGCTGGATACTGTTCAAAGCCTTTAGCGTGTTTTCTTTGACTTCATCCACATCACGGAATCGCTTTCCTTTCAGACTTCTCTTCATCCGTGGAAACAAAAAAAAGTCCGACGGAGCCAGGTCGGGTGAGTAAGGTCGATGAGGCACAATCACCATGTTGTTGCTCGTCAAAAACTGTCGGACCGTCAAAGCTGTGTGGGCTGGAGCATTGTCGTGATGAAGCAACCAGTTCCCATTTCTCCACATTTCAGACCGTTTTCGTCGCACACTCTCTCGTAATCTTCGTAACACATCCAGGTAAAAATGTTGGTCCACTGTTTGTCCTGGCGGAACGAACTCTTTGTGGACAATGCCATTCACATCAAAAAAAAAAATCAACATTGTTTTCACATTGGATCGCACTTGACGCGCTTTCTTCGGTCGTGGTGAAGTTGGAGTTTTCCACTGGCTTGATGATTGCTTTGATTCTGGATCGTACCCATAGCACCAAGACTCATCACCAGTCACAATTCTTTTAAGAAATTCTGGATCGTTCTGCACTTCACTCTTCAAGTCGCGGCAAACATTCACGCGGTTTTCTCTTTGGTCATCTCCGAGCAAGCGAGGAACAAATTTTGCAGACACCCGTCTCATGTGCAAACCTTCGGTTAAAATTCGCTGGACCGTGCTCCATGAGATGTTCGTTTCCTCAGAAAGTTGGTCAATGGTCTTTCGACGATCTTCATCAATTGCACGTTTGATTTTGGCAATGTTTTCGTCATTTCTTCCTGTCGAAGGACGCCCGGGGCGTGGCATGTCTTCTGTTGACATGTTGCCAGATTTGAAACGGGAAAACCACTGGTAGACCTGTGATTTCCCCAAAGCATCATCATTAAAGGCTTGCCGAAGCATCCCAACAGTCTCGGTTGCAGTTTTCCCTAACAGAAAGCAAAATTTCACGCACACTCTTTGTTCCTTCTGGTCGGCCATCTCACTAATCGCCAAAGGGTTGAAACAGGAACGCACACAACAGAGCACCAGACAAACCACTTAACTCAGACTGACGCCAGCTCACTAACAGTCGCGGGAAACCCCCAGCTAACACAACCTAGCAGCACAACTCGTAACTACAAATCATGCGCGCGCAACAGGTCGGTTCTGGTTATTTTTGGGTCCCCCATCGTATATAAAAAGGCTACACAGAAACAAGGGAACTTCAATGAACCTTCAATGGAAACAGAAAGAGTGCCAAGCTATAAAGTTTGAATTATAACCTCACAGATATCAGAAAAGTATTTTACACCATACAAACAACATTCCCTAAGGAATGTTTTACAAAAACGTGGTGTGCTATTGTTTTTCCCTCCAGCATCATGAATTACGATTTTTTACCCACTTCAGATCCAAGATTTTAACTGATTTATCATCCACCTCTTTCAGAGGTCCTCCAGAACTGCCTCATTTGAGGTTGGCACAGTAGTTGGGTAAGGGCACTATTTTCTCGGATACATGTTGTGTAATTCTGTGACAGTCAAATGATGTTCCCCAAACACTGCCTGACTTTCACCAGATTACATGATGTTATATCCCAGAAGACAGAGCTCTTCTTCCTAAATTGTTCCCATCTTTTGAACTGTATTTTTATATTTGTTTTATGTACCATTCATCTCCAGTCTTTGAACCCCAGCAATCCTGTTATGTCTTTTTTTCTCTAATTGGCCTATTGTACCTGCCCTGGGTGATTATGATGATGGGGAATTTGCTGGAATCAAGATTGGCAGGGGAAACCGAAGTACTCGGACTAAACCTGCCCCAGCCATTTTGTCCACTACAAATCCCACTCGACCAGNCAAGATTGGCAGGGGAAACCGAAGTACAGTCAACTCTCGATTATCCGGGCTAATGGTGGGGATGGAAGTCACGGNGAACCGGGATCGAACCGGGCCACCACAGTGGGAAGCCAGCAACTAACAGCTTGAGCTATGGCACGGCCTTGTTATGTCCTTACTTCCTGTATCCTTCAACTCAGTTCAAAAATATTTATTTTCTCATGTGTTCTTTCTGCACTCTTTTTTAAATATTCTTATCCCTTCAATAAGATTCAAGAATCTCAGTTCATGATTCCTCCGTTTATTACTCTCTCGTATGACCCACAGAAAATACATTTAAAAAAAAAAAGAAAAGTAAATGAAAATCTTCGATGCTCAAGTCATCTTGCTGTGTTCACACTGAACAGAAACAAGCAACAGAGGTTTATTTAAGAACGTAAAAATATTACCATTTCACTCACAGCACATACTCTCACTTCCATTATTTGTGGTAGATAAAAAAGCATGTACAATTTAAATTTTGACTATACTACAAGCTGGAAGGTCGCAGATTTGAGCCCTGATGAGTTTTTTCAATTCACCTAACCTTCCAGACGCACTATGGCCCTGGGGTTGACTCAGGCTCTAACAGAAATGAGTACCAGGATTTTTTCTGGGGGATAAAGGGCAGCTGGTGCATAAGGCTGACAACCTCACTGCCATCTATTAGCCGACTGTCTAGAAAATGTGGGATCCTTGACGTCTCACAACCTTATGGGCCTCCACATCCTCTTACAGAGATAGCTTTACCTCTCTCTCTATCTCTCTCTTTTCTTTTACTGTATCATTTTGTTTATTTACAGGCTATGCTGCATGTATCCAATTAGCATTGTAATATTAAGTACTGTACTACAATCTTATTGAATTTTGTAGCAAAAATTATTGTACAGATATTATGAATTTGTACTTGACGTGTTCCATATCCTACGGTGCCAACCTGTATTTAGAGCTTTACGGAATGTAAAAAATTCAAATTCTAATTCAGCTATACTGTTGCAATACCTTAACTGCCATGTCAATAAATATGTGTTCGAAAATCCACTCACCTGAGCCATTCTGCCTCTGCAGCCAAATTGTACATTTTGAGTTTCTGCAACATGATTACATTTTCAGACTCCACTAACCCTGGGTCCTCCAAATTTGCCTGAACATTCTTCACCCATCTGTAAAATGAAATGTGAATACTCTTTATAAGAATAATACAAGAAACAAGTCAATAGAGGCATTTATGATACAGATTGAAGAAAGATCTACACATATACGCAAAAGAATTCATTTCAGCTTAACCCCTTATGCAAGCATTTATATGGCCTGTAGCTGGTTGAAGTGGCCATTTAAATCTTCACTCTGGCTCTTTTTACCTGCCTTCTTCTTGCAAATACAGGGACAGAAATACAGCAAAACTATATATCAATGATTATAATAAATTTCACAAGCTAGATGAAAGTAACATGAAAGCACTTCCATGCCATCTATGAATGAAAAGAGACTCACAAGGGTAACTGAAAACTATTACAAGCATGACACAGTAATGTGACCCTACCGGTCACGAGTTTCGTCAGATATTCACATACAATGTGTTATGTGCAAGTTTACCAAAAGAGACTTTCACATTAACGTTCTTCAAAATTTTAAGTGAAATTATAATCAAACAGTCTGCTTATTGCTGGTGTCCTGCTCGGCTTACTCTTCAGCCCTAATGATGGCCATGAATGTCCCTGACAAGCCATACTTCTATGAGACTACACTGTATTACATACCACAAGACAGTCCTCTTCATAATCACAGTTGTAAAAACCTCAAATCCAAAAATTATAGTCCTTCAGTTTTTAAGTAAAGAGTGAAAAAATTAAAGCTATCCCTGTAACAGGCCATAAAGGCCCATAGGGCTATGGTTGTGGGTGTCACATTATCTAGACAATAGGCTCAAAGATGGCGGTAAGGTTGTCAGCCTTACGTGCCGGCCGCACTGTACTCCCCCAGGAAAATTATTTAATTAATTCCTGGTACTCATTTCTGTTAGAGGCTGGGTAAACCCCAGGGCCATAGTGCGGCTGGAAGGATTAGGTCAACAGAAAAAATCAAATGACCTCATCATGAATTGAACCCGCGACCTTCCGGCTTGTAGCATAGTGCCTTAACCAACTACACTACGCATGCCCCCTTCCACTGCAGTGATACCTGAAGTCCAGTTTGTTTCTTGCATATTGGTGAAAAATTTTTCCATCCACAAAGCGGTAAATTTCTACCCTCTCCCCGAAACCCGTCCAATACAGTACTGTATTCATAACTTCAGTTGTTCAGTATAGTTTCAAGATGCCTAAAGTCAAGTGCTCTAATAGCGTGAAGTTGCGTGGTTTTATTAAAGAGTTTGGTGACAAATATTTTAGTACTGATGGAGAAATTTTATTTTGCAAAATGTGTGAAGTGAAACTTATGGCAGACAAACGTTTTACGGTGCAACAACGCTGCAATACAGCTAAACACAGAAGCTGTGTACACAGAGAAATTACAACGGAAAGTAGACAGCGACTGTTATTTGAAAAGTCATCCTCCAGTTCACCGAAATCAGGAAATGCCTCCCGAGTTTTCAAAGGATCTTTGTACTATGATGGTTTCATCAAATATTCCATTACATTAAGCAGATATACCTAGTTTCCCAAACTTCCTCGAAAAATATACAACTCATCCCATTCCGACCGAATCCACATTATAAAAAAACTCACTTCCTGCTATGACGTTACCATCAATAAAATAAGAAACTGTGTCGGAAATAATAAAATATGGGTGTCTATCGATGAAACTACCGACGTAAGTGGTAGATTTGTAG